GCATTCGGCGAATTTGGTCTGCGAATACAGGAAATAAAAGTAAGTAAAGTTCTGATTGCCCTGATCTAAAGACTATTTGTTTAGAAAAAGTTATTATAAAATACAATGAGCTCTGTATACTAACCCTAATTATTATGAAATTTGGTACTGTAGTAAGTCGAGTAAGCAAGAATTTCAAATTTTGAATACAAGTAATATGTATACTGGTATAAGTTTATTATGTCACGTTAGATATTTCTAGAATCATGTGATCGACATTTCTATTACTATTAAAGGTGCAATCTGCATTACCCAAATTTGGTATATTCCCTGACTGTATTGATAATCAAAACAGTTTTGAGAATGAATTAATCTATGAATTATTCCTTCGTATGAATTTAGATCGAAGCAGATATTTCAGTTCAAAACTATTCTTTTACCCTAATATTATACAAAACATACAACAAGAAGAACCACCGATAAGACAAATACTGAGACAAATACAAAGACAGCCTGAAAGAATAAGAGAAAATCCAGAAGAAAATCTAGAAAATCAACAACAAAATATTCAATACGAATGTCCTATATGCAATCGTAATTTTAATCTTGATAATTTAAATGGTGTATATTTAGCATGTCAATACAATTATATATTTCACGCAGCATGTTTAAATAACTACCTAAGAAATCAAGACAATGATAACACGGCGAATTGTATCTGTCCTATAGAAAATAGAAGACAACACAGAATACGTCATATAGAATTATGAAGAGAAGCTAATAGAGGAGATTTTAGACTCAGAAGAAGATAATATATCACATCGATAATGAATAATAAATTTCACACCCAAATTTCAAAACCGCAATTAATCCAAATCCTGGATTTTATTTATACAAGGCTTTAGATTACATCAATTTAAAAAAAGTAGAGCCGAAAACCAGAAAGTGGAAAAATGCAGGAAGAATCACGTTTTTTACTTTTATATCAGTGAAACTGCAATTCTGATTGTTTTGTGTTACCCCAAGAGTGGAAAATAAGCTTATATAAATTTAAAATATATACATAGAATTCACTTTTTTCTCTTTTTTTTTCCTGGATGTTATGATTATCTGTGTATGTTTTATCTATTAAGTAGTATTAGTATATGCTCTTAAGTACTAACGTAATAATACTACACTTTCAGGAAATAGCTGGCGTCATTTCCATAGAAGTTATTACGTTAGTACTTGAGAGCATAAGGAAAGCTATGCTTTCATTAAACGAGCAAAATTAGTTTGGCCTTAGGCCAAACTAATCAAAAATCTATAATATTGATAATTACAGATTAATTATTGAAAAATTATTAATTAAAAAAATATAAATATGAACACTAGTCAAACGAATAAATAAATTTAATAAAAGATGAGTCAAGAAGATATTAAAAAAATCGCCTTTACCGAATATCATGAAGTTAAATCCAAAAAACTCGAAATAAATCTATCTGAAGCAAAACAACTTTTTATTGAATTTAACAATTCATTTATTCAAAATCATCAAGATAGAAATAAATTACCAGAAAATGAAAAAAAAATGGTTGAAAAGAAACAGAGAAATTTCATACTTCAATGTTTAAATTCACATGTCGATAAATTATCAGAAAATTTTGCTTATTGGGCAGCGTATTATTTAGAACATGGTTATGGTATTGAATATACTGATAATAATAAAAGACAAAAGAATAAAAAAAGAAGTATTGAATTGTATAAAGATGCTGCTGATAGATTACATCCCGATTCTGCAACTCGTTATGCGGTATATCTAATGTCTAATTTTAAGAATGATGATGAGGAAGAAATAAAGAATAAACATAAACAAGATGTTCTTCATTATCTTTATATAGTAGCTAACCGAGGACAATCTGATAGTTACTATTATCTGGGTAATATTCTTTGTTATGGTAAGCTTGGAACTAAAAAAGAAATAGGATTTGGAAAAGCATATTTAGAAGCTGCTATCAGATTAGGTAACGAAAAAGCAAATAATAAATTAATTAGATTTATTAAAAAATTATATAAAAGCCACACAGCTCAATTAGAAAAAGAAAATGATAATTTAAAAGATCAGATTCAGAAGTTGAAAGATGAATTAATGAAATAAAAAAATAATTAAAAATAAATTTGTACTCAAAAAAAAATTTAATTAACAATATATTTTAAATATTATATTTATATTTAAATTTATTAATAAATCCAAAATTTATCATAAATAAATAAACAATTCTTAATTAGTAAAAGTAGGTTTTTCTAAAATAAATATTGAATTGCATGTGGAACATCTTCTTTTGCAGGAAATATCGCTCCAATTTCACTATCAGAAGTACTAAAAACTATAGTTGGATCAGATATATTATATATAGTATAATAGTTTGAACCATCTGTCTCCTCACCAATAAAACTATAAGTTCATCTTTAATAATGATATAATTCGATACTAGGTATATCTAAATGTATATTAACTATTTTATTTTCAACTACCCATCCCATTACTTGTAAATACGATTTAAAATGAACTATATTTTCAGAATCCAAATAAAAAAGTACATTGTACAAATCTATATCCTTTTTAAATATTAATTTTGTGTTTTTAGCCGGAACTAAATAATTTCTATGCTCATTTTTAATAAAATAAAAATTATCAACTTTATGTGATCGTAAACATGCTTGTGTGATAGTTTCATCAGCTCTATTTTTCATATACAAAAAGATTTCTCCATATTTTAGAACTTGTGTAGTATATAAATATAAAGGTAAATTAAAAAATTCAAAATAATAATATTCTTTATCTCTAGAAAAATAATATGATTATTGATTCATATCCTTTTGTAAAACTCCATTGACAACTTGAAAAAATTTTTTTTTATTTGAAGAATTTTTATCCCATTGGATAACGATAGAAACATTTCTATCTTTACTTAAACCTTGTGGAAATGACATTGCAACAGTCTTATTTTTTATGAAATCATTATAAGAATTATTACCATAAAAAATTGATCCATACAAATATGTGCTTTCCCATAATTCTTTAAAGCATTTTGCTATTTCCTCATATGAAACATCTCCAGAAACAAATATACAATGTTTGTTTATTGTATCAAATACATCTTTGTCCTATTCAGCAATAACTTTAATATCTTTATGTTTTAAATTTTTTACTTTCAATTCTAAGTATTCATATAAACTTTTATTATTTGCATTTATTTTTTTATCGTGTAAATATTCATACAATTCGTCTGTTGTTAAATCTGTTAATTCTGATATTATTATATCAAGAAAAGTTACTCTCAATGGTGTTCCAAGATTTGTAAAAAACAAAATATTTCCAATCACACCCCAGAAAGCATTCACAGATGATGTAGCAACTTCTTTAGGATCTCCTTTAAAAGCATGCCATATTGATCTCGAAATCGCAACTAATGTTCCCACTCCTGGTACATTGTCAAGAACACGGTATCCTTTTTCAAAGAAATAATTTGCCATTGGATTTAAACAATAAATTTATTCATTTACAAATATTTTTTTTGATAAATTCTCTTATATTTATAAAATTTTGATATTCGTTATTATCTATATATGTGATATTTAAAGAATCACATATCGATTTGATGATTTCTTTTTGATTTGTTAAATTATCCGTGTTGTTACTTGATACCAAAGCATTATATATCCTTAATAAATTATTATCTGAATTTATACTTAGCATTGTACAAATTTCTGCTATTAAAGTATCGATCGTTTTTTGCTCCTCGATCAATTTCTTGAATAAAGCGAATTCTTGTTTTAATAATTTCACCTCTTTTTCATATGAAATTTTAATTAAATTAACCTCTTCTTTCAATAATTTTAT